GACATCTGACATTTCCACTGGGTGACTAATTTCAATTGATGTTGACACCATCTCACAACACTCCTAAAATAACATTACTTTCTGAAGCACAATTTAAAATGTATGCTGTTTAAAATCTCAAATGAGATCTATTGTCCATCTATATTTTGATTATTATTTAATGGAAACCGTCCATAATCAAAGAGTCACTCGAATTCAATCAAATACTTATTTCACTCCAGGGTGATAGCAGGAGACCCCATCTAGTCACTCAGAGAGAATCAGGACCATCTGATGTAGAGTTTCAAAATAAAAGACCTTTGAAGTCTCATATATGAGCTACCGTCCTTCTGTTTGAATCCAACAGTTCAAATGTTCGAATTACATTGAACCAGAATTGTCCCCCTTTTTTCTTTAACAGTGAAGAAAATTGGATGTTAATGAGACATTGACCGCAAAACTCAAAATGTCCCCGGTTTTCATTTTGAAAATCTGATCACCTTATAAAAAGATAACTAATCAACTAAAAAGAAGGTAAACACACCTAAGGAAGGTTTGTCCATGGGTTTTACTTTAGTTAAATGTGGTTAGAGCAAGCCATAATGTACAGTATGTACAAATTGAAGCTAAAGCTACGCTAGCTAGCGCTTGAGCTAACATAGAAGGCATTGCTTATATTTTGCAGCGTGTGAGTTGTGCGAATTGAATATATCTTGGTTCATTCCTGTAATGAATTAAGCTCTACTTTCCACATGATATCCTCTTTAAAGAAGTCTATTTGAAGTCCTATTAGGTTCTTCTACAGTAGTAGTTAGCGTGATTGATGGTTTAGCTCAATTACCATCCTCCGTATATCATTAGCTCTTCTGCTGCTTCTGTCGTGTCTAATTTAGGATCCAGCCTTTTCAAATGTTTATTTCAATCTGCAGGGGAAGTACTCTCAGAGGTTCCTCTAAAAGCAAACACCAAGCGATTACCCTGAGACAGGAAATGCATTTTAATTTGATGCAACTCTCCAGAGTCTTTTACTGGTTTGATAATCTGAGTTAAAGTACAGAGGATAAGTGCTGCCAGAGTCCTCGAGGGCACCAGTTGTCTCGTATTTAACACTTAATCAACAGTGTGTTGTCGACTGGTGGGTATTCTGTTGTCTGCAGAGTATTTTAGATTTAAACTATTAAGGTGATGCTATTGTTCAATGTCTGTTAGAGCGCTAACACAGTAGGTGCAAATCCAAGAGGAAATACAATTATTAGACTGTACAAAAAGGTTCTTTGGTGGCAAGTATAATGGGATTTTAAAGATGAAAACAAGGTGTATTAATGCAGATAATTCAAATATCTGCAGTGTGTTTGAGTTGTAAATCATTAAGGTGATGCTTCTATTGCTTAATGCCTGCAACAATCTGCAAAAATGTCAACACAGTAGGTGCAAATCTAAGAATTACAACAAGTAAGTAAGCATTACAATTATTAGACTGCACAAAAAGGCAATATGATGGGATATAATGGGGTTTCTAAGATAAAAACAAGGTGTATTAATAGAGATAATTCATATTCCACAGCCACATTGAACAGGGAGTGTGTTCATGTTTATTTCTCTCTGTATTTACATGCATTAGTGATTATCACTTCAAAGCCACAGGGTTCAGACGCTGCTGAATAATCTGTTCTTTAAGCTTGTTCTTTTATTTATTAGCACACTAGATTTGGCCGGTCTTTGTGCATTGATTTTTCGGCAGATACACCTGTCTCGATACGTCTTCATTTGTGTCCTCCTGACACAGCCTTTGAGCCAAGCTTTGCTGACTGGCAGCTGCAGTGTTTGCTCCTCTTACCCCTCAGTGTTAGCCTTCACAGTGGAAACAGCTTTAGCAGCAGCAGGATGTCGCGTTATCTGTCAGAGCAGAGTCTGGATTTACAGCGATTTAACTTCTTTTGGGGTGAAATCGTCCTGTCAACGTGGCATTTATCCAGACGTGGCTTCCCTTAAGTGACACTGAGTTGTTGAGTGATTGATTCTTTGGCCCTGTTTCATGCATTATTGATTAAGGTTCATTTGCATTGCAGTTGTCCGTCACAAATTGATGCATTGTCAGCTTAACATCTCCCTAAAGCTGACAGAAGATCGATAGCAAGCGTCTCTGTTCTGATCTGTTGATGCATTCCCCTTCAGAATGATCGAACGCACGACGACTGTCTCACATATTTAAGAAAGTATTATCTTATATTTAATCGCTGTACATTTTTGTTCTTGATTTGAACAAGCCTTAGCCTTTTGTCCGTCACAAATTGATGCATTTATCAGTTTAATATTTCCATGAGCTTGACAGAAAATCATTCAAAACGACCGGTTCTGATCTGCTTTGATAGAGATTATGTGCACCATGCATTATGTGCACCATGCATTATGTGCACCATGCATTATGTGCACCATGCATTATGTGCATTGAGTAATTGTGTGCCATATAAGGATTTCCTGGTAGTAAAACACCTCATTTCTATTTTTAACCTGTTTGCATGACTGTCTGGTTGCACACCGGAGAAGGAAGTGTTCAATGATACCGATTGCCATGGAAACCAATTAGGGATTCAGTGCAGAGCGTGAAGCAGTCACCAGTTTCCTGTCACCATCCCCCGCTTGTTTCTTACATAATACGTGTTTTATTAGCACAAATAAATCATACCGGAAGTCAGTGAAGAGAGGGGTTGGATTGTTGCTTTTCAGACGTCTGTGACGCATGTGTGGGTGGAAGTTTCTCCTCTACTCTGGTAAATATCCCCAAATATCTCCTGTGCTAATTCACCTCCTCCCACGGGCGACTTCCTGCACAGAGCTGTCATTAAACGGGTCGCAGACGAAGGGGGGGAATCAGGGAAAAGACCCGCTTCTCGTTTAAAATTAGAGTTCAAATTAGTACCTGACATCAAGCTATAATCATCATTCAAATCTAAAGTAATCTATAATTATCTCTGTGTGAGAAAAATGTAATCTATTAGCAGCTGCAAGTGTTAGCTTAGATGCTAGGCTAGCGGCACTTCATTAGCTACTACATGTTTGGGGTTTGCAAAGCGTTGATCGTAACTAGAAAAGTGATCTTGCTTGATTTAAAAAAAAAAAAGAGGAATGTTGTTCTTCTTGATAAGATAAGATAAGAAGTTCTTTATTGATCCCAATTTGGGAAATGTTTGTGTTGCAGCAGCTTAAAAGACATGGCATGAATAATACACATTTAAAAGACTAGAAATAAACAAGAAAGTAGAATTTCTTTTGATGCAATGGTTGTCCCTCTCTTCATGTCAACATGTCAAATCCCACAGATGATTAAGAGATATTATGGAGGAGGAGACAGGAAATCAGTGTTTTTGTTTGTGTTTACTTTACGCTGAACGACCACACAGTCCCCGACGTGTCAACGAACATCAATCCAAGCACTGATGTTTGCTGCCATTGTCCGACATCTTGGGCCTAATTAACGGGACGCTGTGGTGCTTGACAGAGTGTTGATTCACATCATGACATCCCATCTGATCACACGAGGTAGTATGCATGATGACACACACACACACACACACACACACACACACACACACACACACACACACACACACACACACACACACACACACACACACACACACACACACGTATACATCACTTCAGGGGACATTACATTTCCTGGAGACTTATCCTAACCTTAACCATAACCAACACATGCCTAACCCTTACCCTTAACCTTACCCTTACCTTTACCCTAATCCTAAACCTAACCAAGTGTTCACCCTAAAATTAATGATTCCCCTTATGGGGACCTCCTATTTGTCCCCATAAGGGAGACGAGTCCCCACACGTGACTGTGTAAACAGATTTAGGTCCCCACAAGTATAGTAATGCTAGACCACACACACACACACACACACACACACACACACACACACACACACACACACACAGATTGACTCTGCAGGATTCATAAGATAATAGATAAGAAAATAATTACTTTATTGATCCAAATTTGGGAAATGTTTGCGTTGCAGCAGCATTAGAAGACAAGGCATTGTACATAAGGGAAATTAGAGAGTATAAATAATTGCATACATATTTTTATATATATTTGTTTTTGTATTCTGGATTGTGGGAAACGGTATTTCGATCTCTGTCTTACACACAAACTGAAAGATTGACAATAAAGTGGACTTTGACTTGATAAACAATCCAAAATGTAAACATCTCAAATGGCATTAAAAAATATACATGTGGAAATACAAATGTACAGTAACAAAGTATATCTGACAGGAGTGACTTGAGCCAAAAGAGATGTCTCTCTCTCCACACTGCTTTCGGAGGTTTGACCAGCCTTTGTGATGTGGAGCTGATAGAGATGACCGTAAGTCGCCTAGCAACCCGTATTGATTGATAGGGAGATTAACGGGGTCTCTGATAAAAGTCCTTCCTGACACCAACGCTGCTTATCGTTGGGCTTTTGGAGGAAGAAATGTCAGAAAGTATCCGTCTCAAAACAGGAAGTTAGATAGTTTTGCTTTTGCTAAGAATGATTTTTTCCGTTTCTCTGCAACAGCAACGTCACTGATCAAAGTTTTCTGTAACTGTCCAAGTCTTTAAACACTTCCAAAGTCTTCTTCTGCTGATTTCTCTGACAAACGGTCTGTTAGCGAAGAATAACAGACTGCAGAATGTTCAAAGTTGACCAATCGGCATAGAGTATACAGCTACACTGTGTAAAAAAACACCATTAGAGCATTTCAACTGGGTCAACACGTCTCCACAGTCTCCTTCTGCTGATTTCTCTGACGTCAGCAGTGCAGCAATCTGCTTTCCTTAGCAAATGGTCTGTTAGCGGAAAATAACAGACTGCAGAATGTTCAAAGTTGACCAATCAGCATTGAGTATTCAGCTAAACTGTCTAATAAACACCATTAGAGCATTTCAACTGGGTCAACACGTCTAATTTTATTAAAACAAACCTGTCATAAACCCATTTTCTTCTTCTCTTCTTCCAGATGAAGTGTTTGGACGCTGTCAGGAGTTGGCGGCTGCAGATTTGTACACATACGATATTTCTTCTTCTGCTCTGCAACGCCTCAGGATCCTGCTTCAGAAACTGGCTCACAGAGGTAAATACTGCTGTAGAAGTAATCAGATTACTGTGGAGTACAAATACTTCGTTACTGATGACTTTTTACTTTGACTTCTCACATGTTGAACACAAATACCTGTACTTTCTACTTCTCACATGTTGAACTCAAATACCTGTACTTTCTACTTCTACATGTTGAACTCAAATACCTGTACTTTCTACTTCTTACATGTTGAACTCAAATACCTGTACTTTCTACTTCTTACATGTTGAACTCAAATACCTGTACTTTCTACTTCTTACATGTTGAACCCAAATACCTGTACTTTCTACTTCTTACATGTTGAACCCAAATACCTGTACTTTCTACTTCTACATGTTGAACTCAAATACCTGTACTTTCTACTTCTTACATGTTGAACCCAAATACCTGTACTTTCTACTTCACATGTTGAACTCAAATACCTTACTTTCTACTTCTTACATGTGAACTCAAATACCTGTACTTTCTACTTCTTACATGTTGAACTCAAATACCTGTACTTTCTACTTCTTACATGTTGAACTCAAATACCTTTACTTTCTACTTCTTACATGTGAACTCAAATACCTGTACTTTCTACTTCTTACATGTTGAACTCACAATACCTGTACTTTCTACTTCTTACTGTTGAACTCAAATACCTGTACTTTCTACTTCTTACATGTTGAACTCAAATACCTGTACTTTCTACTTCTTACATGTTGAACTCAAATACTGTACTTTCTACTTCTTACATGTTGAACACAAATACCTGTACTTTCTACTTCTCTCATGTGAACTCAAATACCTGTACTTTCTACTTCTTACACTGTTGAACTCAAATACCTGTTACTTTTCCTACTTCTTACATGTTGAACTCAAATACCTGTACTTTTCTACTTCTTACATGTTGAACTCAAATACCTGTACTTTCTACTTCTTACATGTTGAACTCAAATACCTGTACTTTCTACTTCTTACATGTTTGAACTCAATACCTGTACTTTCTACTTCTTACATGTAGAACTCAAATACCTGTACTTTCTACTTCTCACATTGTTGAACACAAATACCTGTACTTTCTACTCTTACATGTCGAACTCAAATACCTTTACTTTCTACTTCTTACATGTTAACTCAAACCTTACTTTCTACTTCTACATGTTGAACTCAAATACCTGTACTTTCTACTTTCACATGTTGAACTCAAATACCTGTACTTTCTACTTCTTACATGTTGAACTCAAATACCTGTACTTTCTACTTCTTACTGTGAACTCAAATACCTGTACTTTCTACTTCTTACATGTTGAACTCAAATACCTGTACTTTCTACTTCTTACATGTTGAACTCAAATACCTGTACTTTCTACTTCTTACATGTTGAACTCAAATACCTGTACTTTCTACTTCTTACATGTTGAACTCAAATACCTGTACTTTCTACTTCTTACATGTTGAACTCAAATACCTGTACTTTCTACTTCTTACATGTTGAACACAAATACCTGTACTTTCTACTTTACATGTTGAACTCAAATACCTGTACTTTCTACTTCTTACATGTTGAACTCAAATACCTGTACTTTCTACTTCTTACATGTTGAACTCAAATACCTGTACTTCTACTTCTCACATGTTGAAACTCAAATACCTGTACTTTCTACTTCTCACATGTTGAACTCAAATACCTGTACTTTCTACTTCTTACATGTTGAACTCAAATACCTGAACTTTCTACTTCTTACATGTAGAACTCAAATACCTGTACTTTCTACTTCTTACATGTTGAACTCAAATACCTGTACTTTCTACTTCTTACATGTAGAACTCAAATACCTGTACTTTCTACTTCTTACATGTTGAACTCAAATACCTGTACTTTCTACTTCTTACATGTTGAACTCAAATACCTGTACTTTCTACTTCTTACATGTTGAACACAAATACCTGTACTTTCTACTTCTTACATGTTGAACACAAATACCTGTACTTTCTACTTCTTACATGTTGAACCCAAATACCTGTACTTTCTACTTCTTACATGTTGAACACAAATACCTGTACTTTCTACTTCTCACATGTTGAACTCAAATACCTTTACTTTCTACTTCTTACATGTTGAACTCAAATACCTGTACTTTCTACTTCTTACATGTTGAACTCAAATACCTGTACTTTCTACTTCTTACATGTTGAACTCAAATACCTGTACTTTCTACTTCTTACATGTTGAACTCAAATACCTGTACTTTCTACTTCTCACATGTTGAACACAAATACCTGTACTTTCTACTTCTCACATGTTGAACTCAAATACCTGTACTTTCTACTTCTTACATGTTGAACTCAAATACCTGTACTTTCTACTTCTTACATGTTGAACTCAAATACCTGTACTTTCTACTTCTTACATGTTGAACACAAATACCTGTACTTTCTACCTCTTACATGTTGAACTCAAATACCTGTACTTTCTACTTCTTACATGTTGAACTCAAATACCTGTACTTTCTACTTCTTACATGTTGAACTCAAATACCTGTACTTTCTACTTCTCACATGTTGAACTCAAATACCTGTACTTTCTACTTCTTACATGTTGAACACAAATACCTGAACTTTCTACTTCTCACATGTTGAACTCAAATACCTGTACTTTCTACTTCTTACATGTTGAACTCAAATACCTGTACTTTCTACTTCTTACATGTTGAACTCAAATACTTGTACTTTCTACTTCTCTCATTTTCCAAACAGCTGGTTCCTTTAGTCTGAATGTGTGTTTGATGCGTGATCATTATTCTTTAGAGTCATTGCGTGCCTATTGATTTGAACACGATCCGTGTATCCATCATTTCCTGGTCTTCTCTAAAGAAGAGGGACCAATGGAAACGTTGTCATGTTGCCGTTGTTCAGCATGGAAACATTCATTAGCTAACAATGACATTATTGTTCTATTAATATAAAGGGAGGTCAGGTACTCTTTAAAACAGCTGCTAGTTATGGGTACTTTTTACTGAAGTACACTTCAAAGCCTCTTTACTTTGACTTGAGTAAAGAAGTTTAGTCAGTACTTCTACTTTCACCAGAGTATTTTTAAACACGAGTATCTGTACTTCTACTTGAGTAAAGGATGTGTGTACTTCTGCCATCTCTGGATTACTGTCACATATAGAAGAGACAATAGAGATTACTAGCAGGATTACAGAAACCCTGCCTGTCAGCTGCCATCGTTTGACGCCAAATACCCCACTCGAAACCATAGAGCAAGAACAGGTCATGTGACTCATTTCGGGTCATTGATTTGTCACTAACATTATTGCCTAACCAGTCCAGTTGGCTTGTTTGCTGGTGGGACATTTAGACCTATGAGTAAGAGTGCGGTGTGCAAAGTAATCACATTAGAAAGTCTCCGGTACTCAATCAATAACATGTTACATCTTCAGGGCATTTTCAATAAGACGCCTTCATAACAGGAGAGACTTTAGAGCTCATTTGAGGAAATTAAGGGTTAGTTTCTCGGATTTAGTTCGGTCACGTTGATATGGCTGATTTAAAATTCATGTCTTGTACTGTCTGATGGTTTTTGGAGTGTGGGAAACAGAAACGACTGAAGCCTCCAGACAGTCTGCTAGTATAGATCCATTGCTGTAAATGCAAAACAAATCTGCATGGTTAGTGTCTTACATACACTTGGAAAGGTGTTTTCTGCCCATAAAATGCCTCAAAAAGTGATTTATGTTGGAATAAAAGACCCAAACGGTGACTTAGCGTCTTAATATGTTGATCTTTACAGATTTTCCAAGATAGAAATACGTTATTTGATAGTAAGTGTATGTTAAGTAATGCAAAAACAGTGCTTTTAAATGAACAGTCTCACTCCCTTGTCTCAGGAATTTAAAAATAAAGCATTTGCAGGAAATTACAGACCAGAAATATTATAAAATGGAGCTTCTGTGCATTTTCTCTGCAGGTGTAAGTGCAGTAATGAGCCACCAGGGGGCAGTATACTCCTTTAACATGGAGCGTGACCACTAACATGAAATGTCCAAATATAATTGGCTTTGCAGGCCACTCTGAAGCTTAATATCTTTTAACAGGCGTGAACCGCTGTTGAAAATCATTAAGCAGTCAGCCAGAGGAAATCAGAAAAAAAAGAGGGAGCAGCGATGAATATTAAGCAAGGCGAGACCACACATTTATTCTAATTACTGCTCAGAAAGAAACAAATGGGAGTGAAAGGAGAGGATAAGAAGAGAGGTGGTGTGGCATTTTTTAATGCTTTTCATCGAGAGAGTCTGACCTTGTGTTTGCAGACATTACATCATCGCTTTGAATCATTTCCACCCTTTTCTGTCTTGCATTATCTCCGCATGAGTCCACAATGCACTGGTTATTCTTATATTGAAGTGTCATCTTTGAGACGCCATTGTACTGTAAGTTAAATTGAAGAAGGAGGGGACGTCAATGAAATCGATTTACAACCCTCTTTATCTTCCATCAGGTAGAAACCTCGCTGCAGAATGTCATTGAGATCAATAGGAATTGACCCTTGAACAAAAGGGTTGTCTGCCTGCGTCCCCCATCGGCAGATCTCGATGTTTGCTATTACATTTTCACCACAAAACCTTCTGAATGCAACGCCCCTGTCATCCCACTGCAAATTACTTTTATATTACACAGCACCTTAGTATTCAAGGCGTGAAACCACAGCCAGACTGCTGCTGTCATAACGCTGCGGAGTCAAAACGGCAGACTGGAATAGAGAGAAACACACATGAGGTAGTAACTGTAGTGTATTCATTTTAATGTGCTATATATTTATATATATATATATATATATTTAGCATTTAATCTGCCAAACACTGCCCCTAAACACCACATATCTAATAGTCTAGCAACCGTATTTCCCCACATTTGAAGTAAGAATGATAATCTGTAGGTATCTTAGTGACAAAAATATAGAAATAAACTACATTTTGTATTAATATGCTCTATCAAATGTGAGTTTA